GGCCATGCTATGGCAATCGGTCTTCTTAAAGGTCTGGGCGGGGGAAAGCTGCCGATGTTTGTCGCTCGTCGGGCGGTACCCGGTAACTCGTAAAAGGCTCCGGTGGTGTGTCCTCCACAGCAGCTAGCTGTTATTTGTGTAGACTAGAGTGAATGGGCGCGGCACGGGGCCCACGTCATTAACTAGGGCCTCCATTGCTTCCGCTTTCGGGCGTCGGACCTTCGGTCTCCACGATGCTGTCTGTTGGAAAGTTCCCGAGAGTACTGCATGCACATGCGGCTAGGCTCCGGTGGTTGATCTCCTGCATCAGCTCGTCGTCTTCTCTGACACTGCCACCCAGGTACCGGAATTCTGTCTGGGCGTCCAGCTGTCTGTCCCGCTGCTTCGATCAGCAGTGGTGCCTGAGGTGGTGGGGGTGGCGACCCCTGCGTTTGACCCTTCTCCGACACCCGCATCAGGAATTTAGCTGTCTTTCTTCTCTTATTCTGTCAAGGCTCCAAGGAGTACCCTTCCACAATGATGATGTTTGTCATCCTCGCCAATATGCTCCTTCAGATGATAACCAAACGTGGATTCTTGGCTTCTCCGTTGCATTCACATGATGACATGCCCACCTAAGTTCGACGGCGTCTTAGACTCCCCCTGCCGTGAGGCAGTCCAAGGGCCCGGTAGGCGTTCACGCTGTCCTTCACTGTTCCGCTCGGACACATGCCCACGGGGCACATTATTTATTACCTCCGTGTGGTGTAGGGTGTGGGATGTTCACCTTCTTCTCTTTCGGGCTATGTCTCGGCGACGAGGATGGAGCGTCTACCAACTCTCCACCTCAACTTCACCGATACTTCTTCGTCAACACCCGTCACAACGGTGGCCGCCCGCCTCATTTTGGGGGTGGTTAGGGGGGGCAATTCGTCCCGTTCAGAAGCAAAACGTGTGGGGAGTACTTCAGAAGGAAGCAGAAAGGGCATCAGCCCCACCTAAAATGTACGCAGAAGGAAACTGAAGACTCGCGTATTCTCATTGCCCAGCAGGTGAGCGCCCTCTATGCTCTTGTCAACGAACGCACTTTCTGTCACAGGCAAGTCACACAGGCAGGTCAAGGCAGGTCAAGGCAGGTGCAAGGGTCCCTCCAAGTGGAAACAACATTGGAACACCCCTAGACTACGTGTCAATCTTGGTCGCGGGGGGGGGGGATAGGCCTTATATGTCGCCGGACGGGACATTTTGACCAAATCCCCGGGGTTTCCACACTTTTCGTGCGCTTTTTTCAGCGCGCGCGGGATCCCACACAGAGCTAGTGGAAATTATGGAAACACCCCAAGAATACGCGTCAATCTTGGTCGCGAGGTCTTCTATAATAGTGTATGGTGTAGGAAATGGTATGACGACACAAAAGCCTACAAATGAAAAGAATTTTATGGGTTTTAGAATGCGGCAGGAAAGAAAGCCTATTCAATGAAGAGTGTATTGGTTTTACTATATACACACTAAATCCTATACAATAGACTGCTGCAAGCGTGGCGCCTAAACCCCCTATACTGCGTGTCAATCCAAGGCCAGTTGTTACGGAAAATTTTCCCAGATGGGAATCCGGGGGATCGGCAGATAATACTCCACCACCCCCTAAAAGTAGGAGGTCTGCGTACTGGGCAGCAAGCAGAGAGCACCAAAGCGCTTGGTCAGTTCGTCCTCGCCTCACAGTCCCCTGTTTGCCATCTAACCGATAAGGCTGTACACTCCACTACTGTGAGCTTCTCGGAGCCAAGTTTGGGCAGCTAGAGTGGAGTGTGCGTAGAGTATGCAATGATATGAAAGCAAATTCACGATTCCCAGTTTGGAATTCCAACCAATTCCAGTTGGGAAATCATTAGGAATTCCCACCAGGATCGTCCAGCAATTCCAAATTGGAATTCCTATTTTACCAAGCATGGTGAACACACATTGCACCGCAGCTCCCCAAACTTGGCTCGAAGAGGCTCACAGCAATGCTCTACGCGGCCTCGAAGGTTTGAATGCAAACGGGTCTCTGTGAGGCGAGTACTGGGTGCCAAAGCGCTTTTGTGAGCTTTTTTTCCATCGAAGTGCGCAAAACTCCTGCGGCCTCATGGAGGTTTGGATGTAAAAGGCGTAATATCGGGATTCCCAGTTGGGAATTTCTTTCCATAACAACTGGCCTTAGCCCAGGGGGGGGGGGGGGCGTACTCATTTGTTGCTTGCCGTAGTCATTTGACCATTGACCACGCGTCCCTTTCGAGACGGAGAACCGTTCCTACACCTACTAGAGACACCACCAACATTTGGGAGCTCTTTACGTTTCTGCCACAAACTCCATAAAAAAATGGGGGGGGGGGGGTTCCACGGGTTTCCACATGGACGACGAATGAACCCTTCGTCCTGGGGCACCTCTATACCATCCTCGTAAAGGTGTGGAACGGAGGAGATATTCCGCAAGAGTGGAAGGATGCAACCATCAAGGTGCTGTACAAGAAGGGTGACCGGTCCAACTGTAACAACTACAGGGGGATTTCGCTACTATCTCACGTAGGCAAGGTCCCAATCAAGATCATCACCAACCGTCTGAGCGCCTTCTACGAAGCCAACAACATCCTCCCGGAGGAACAGTGCGAATTTCGATCCGGGCGATCCACCGTCGACATGCTGTTCGTCGTGCGCCGCCTCCAGGAGCTGGGGCGGAGAAAGAAAATACCGCTCTACATGTGATTCGTCGACTTGAAGAAGGAGTATGATTCGGTGGACCGAGGGATGCTATGGAAAGTGCTGGCCAGGGCCGGGATTCCCGCGAAGCTGATCAAAGTCATCCGTCAATTCCACGATGGAATGCGGGCCCGTGTGCGCATGGACGACGGAGAACTATCGGACTCGATCTTCGTGACACAGTAGAGGGCGTGTGACAAGGATGTGTGCTATCCCCACCGCTGTTCAACATCTTCTTCGCCGAGGTCCTCGAGGTCGTTGTCATCCGATTCAGCGAGGATGATGTTGTTCTGCGGAGCCTGGTGTGCTTGGAGGAGGGGAAGACAGAAGCGGGGGGGGCGGAGGAGACACCCCTTGACCGAGTACGGAGGGCAGTATGGGGGATGCTATATGCCGATGATGCCGGCGTCGTATCGAGGTCTGGAGAAGGACTGGCGAGAATGATGACCATAATCGTTGAGGTGTTCGGGGAGTTCGGGCTGACGGTATCGGAGAAGAAGACGGAGACACTCCTGATGCGCGCCAAGGACAAGCCGACTACAACACCACAGCCCCCCCCGCCTCCACCGCTGACCATCGAAGCCGCGGGACAGAAATTCGCCCAGACGACCGAGTTCCGGTACCTCGGTGGCCTCGTCAACGAACATGGCGACCTCACCCGGGAGATCAACTACAGGAGCAGAGGAGCGTGGGCGTGCCTCGGGCGATATGGCCGGGAGCTCTTCGACAGACCGAAAGCGCCATTCCGACTCCGCCTCCTCCAGGCGGAAGCGATGGAGGCACTGCTGTACGGCTGCATGACAGGTTCACCTCTTAGCGGCCACTACCAGACGCTGCCATCGATATACCACCGACTGCTCCTTCGAGTTATCGGGTACAAGCACAAGAAAGACACCTACCGGCAGCTTTCCTACACCCAGACGCTGAAGAGGGTCGGATGCCAGAGCGTTGGAGCCACGATCCGACAACGACGCCTACTGTTCGCGGGAGCATTGGCAAGGCAGCCGGACGGGCGACTCCCGAAACGACTGATGCTCGGCGAACTGGCGGGGGGGGAGAAGCGAGGTAGGGGGGGACAGGAACAGAACTGGCCGAAGTGTGTGCTCGACGACCTGAAGGCATTCGGGGCCGACCACGGATCTACGAAAACCGATCCATGTTGTCTCGGAATCCCGGTACCGAAAGACACGGCACCGAAGTTAAAGTGGACGGAGGCCGCGAAGGTGGAGGGAGGAGTACCCTGGCATGCGGCGGTGCTGCAGGGAGATGAGACGTTCATGATCTCCTGGCACAAGAAGGAAGAAGAGGCCAGCCGACAACGAGCGCTCAAACGAGACCACAAGCCAACAACCAATGGGGCGGGAGGGGGGCAGGAGACGGACGAGACGGCGAGGGAAGAAAGTAAACGAGAAGAGACGGACCGAGTGGCGTGATACGTGCCGGATTGAATTTCTTTTAGCCAATTCTCCCCCCCCAACGCTGCACCATTGCACCAACCCCCCACTAGTGATGACGTACCATTACCATCCATCATGTATCGCTGGTTGGTGGCCATGTTTGCGTGTTTGCTTGTTCGTTCGTTAGTGGTCTCTCCACCGTGTGCCTTATTCTGTCTCTTATTTCTTGTTATTTTCGGCCTGGTCTCTTTTTGTCCTCGCTCTTTTTCATTTTATTTCTCTTTTTCTTCCTGTTTCCGTTTATTTTTTTTCTCTTTTTCTCTTTTTTCTCTTTGTCGCTCTTTTTTCTCTCTTTTTATGTGTCAGATGGCCTTGTCTCTGCTTGCGTGTGAAGCACCAAGATTGAACCGAGGGGGTGTACCTCTTTCTCTCTGGCCCGTGATGCTGACTCCTAGTCTCAGTTGTTACCTCGCATAGCGCGCAGAGGGAGCGGAGGACTCCAGAATATCTGTCGTTGATTTCTACAGCAGTATTGACTTGCGGTCCCGTCGGGGCCAGTTTGTTTGAGCGTACCTTTTTCTATGGTAAGTTAGCCTGTGACCACGGGAATCGACCGCGTCAAGTGTTGGATCAGTACGGACATATGTTGGTACTGGGTAGAGAGAGATCGGAACGGTTTTTAACGTGAAGACAACAACAACATTGAGGGACCCTTGGCAGGTGAGCGAAGAGAGAAGGGGGCGTCCCTATCCCCTATCCCCAGACAGACCAATGCATCCTTACCAACGCATCTCTCCTGTAAACCTTCCATTGATATGCCGTCGCCCCCCATCTCCCGCTCTCTGCTGGCCTCTGCTTGTTGGTGGCGTGGTGTCAGCAGTCTCCTTTCTTTCAAAAATAAGCTGTGAGTAGGTTGGCGGGGTCCATCTCACGCGGGCGACATGGCGGGCGTAGGAAGCGGGCGACCCTGCGAGGTCGAGGTGAGGGAAAAGTAGTTGGGGCAGTCGTTGGACCCAGGAAGGGGTCCAAAGTTCTTACAATGTACTCGGGTGAACACCCGTATTGTTTTAAAGCAGTCCGTCGGGCAGCTGCTTCCCTTCAAGACACCAAGACCTAGAGATGCTGATCACCTGGCGTCCCTGCAGCTTCCGCGCCGCAGCAGATTGCGCGTCCCATGGGCCTAATCTGACCGCTTTTGTATCTCCTGTAATATCTGCTGATCAACAGCGTACGTGCCCGCTCGCGTCGTGGCTGCCTGCTCGATGCAAACCAACCGTCGTACCGCAGTAGTTGCCCCTTGTTGTGCCGGGGAGGGTGCTGCTGAAACACGCTGGCAGGCAGTTCTTCGTTCCTGCCAGGGGTTCCTGTCAGTTGTTGGGATCCACACCAACTACCCTTGTGTGGATATCTTGTCGCGCTCCGACGAGCTTGTACCGCTCTCCCTCCCTCTGCTGGCATCCAATACCCGCCATGTTTTTGAAAGAGCTGCACACGCACACCAGCAGCAGACAGCGGTTGAACAATATGCTGTACGGCAACAAGGAGCGTCACTGCTGCCCCTGCCCCAACGTACACATTCGTAGTACTACTGCTGTTGTGAAAATCGTGACTCGGTATCCCCACTCACACGTGTCTGTCGGGGGCTGTATCATATGAATTACCAGAACGGCGCGGCCTCCCGCGCACCGGCCAGCTTCCCGTTGAACACTTGCCGTAAACGTGCGATGCATGCACTGTATGGTAGCAGCGTCGCACGGATGTGTACTCTGTAGCTTCCAACGACACCGCCAGTACCAGCGACATTTTGTATTGCTCACTCACCCCACGGTTCAATCACCTGGCGTGCCGCGAAGCCGACAGGAAAACGAAATTCGTCCGCCACCACCTACAACAACGGAAAGCAAGGCTGCATTGTCTGCGGCTATGCATGTACATAAATAGACCAATTCATGTGTTAGAAACGCATGTCGCAGACCACCAAAATCGCCGGACGTGTGTGTCGGTCCTGTTGGAATCAAAGTGCGGATTCAAAGTGCGAGACGAGCTACATGTAGATCCACATACATCCTTGTGCTGGTGTGGCACCAAAGTGCAGAAGTTGCGGCAAAACCCTACAAAAGTTACCTACCGCTTGTACATACATACATTATGCGTATATGTCGAGTCAGGCTTGTTTGAAGCAACAAGAGGACCCCTGAAAGTCGCCCGCAGCAGGACGTCGAGGGGGCAGCTGCTTAGCCGCTTTGGCTCTCTCCGCTTCGCGTTGCACATGGCCCGATCGGAACTGGGTACAACCTGGAACAGCTAAATAGCGCCATGGGTACATGACGGTTCACGTGCAAGACCGTGGCGTTAGTTGCTGTTCCAGGTGGCCAGTGCCGATCGCTTCATGTACAACGCGGAGGAGCACCGCAGGGAGAGAGCCCAAATTCCGAGGGTCCCGGCAGCTGCCCCCTCGACGTGCTGCTGCTGCTGCTGCTGCTGCTGCTGGTGACCTTTCGCAGCACTGGGCTGCACCAACTGCAGCTACCGCTGCTGAGCCTACGTCAGCAGACTCCCCCCTCAGTAGCGGCTACGTGGGTGCTTGCAAGAGGTTGGAGCATTGCCGGTCTGTTACCCTCTGCATTTGCTTGGTATTCACGTACAAGCAATGACAATGGTCGTAATTCTTCTGCATGCTATGAAACATGCGTAGGCGTCGACTCTGCAGAAATTCTTACGTCTATTATAGGATATGTGTAAGGTGTATAAGAGGTACACTCATGGTTGATTTAATTTCCATCTTTGTGCAGGAGATTTCGCTGGGAGCCACGCGGGGGATTCTGGCGAAACCCAAACCGGTGGTGGCGGCTTCGCCGTCTTTGCAAGCGCCGCAAGACCTGTCGTCATGGTGAGTTACATGAATGACAGTTCGGCGTGACTGCACCACCGAAAGGTACTGTGCAGAAACAGAGACGCAGCGGCCTACCCTTACGGCAAATGACAAACGTCGAGGTTTTGCAAGCGCCGCAGGACCTGCCGTCATGGATGTATCACGTTGTTCGGCAAAACCATGGCCGACAAATCTTGCGCAAACGCAGAGACATGGCGCAGGATAGCTTGCCGCAAGTGGCAAGCGTAGATATAACAATGTTAATGTTGTCACCGTTACAACCCCCGTCTTTTGGCCTGTTACAAGACCGAGTGCCACGCAAGCGTCTCGCAAAGCGTGTGGCGGGGATTTACCCTCCAAGTTGACCCCCACCAGCGCGAGTCGTAGTAGGCTGTCGGTGTTGACATATAGTCGGCGGTCCTCAATAGCGGTAGGTAGTGGTTAGAGTTTTTGGTGCCGTTATTCAGGGCAGTGTCGCTTTTACTAGTAGCGATTGTACTCGGAGATGCATTTGCGCCAAGCGATTTCGGTGCCGTTATTCAAGGCATTCCGCTTTCTAGGGTGCTGCTTACAGAGGACCGCCGACTGTACCGTAAGGGGCGGGCGGGGTGGCACCCCTTATAGACCGACTTTCAAAGCTCCATTGTTCCTCAACCAACGGGATTCGAACAGCGCCCCCGATACGTGTAAGGAAAGGCCTCCACGAGATGTTTCCAAAACCTCCGCTGTTGGTGTTGGCTCAATCTTGTTTTTGGAGAAAAGCTCGAGCTTTGGAGATCGGTCTAGGGTAGGTGCCATCTCTCCTTCTCTTTCGGTGTGCCGTCGTGGTTGTTGCTGAGGACATGGACCCTCCGCCAGATCCAGGTAGTATGATGTCCTTACCCGATCTCTCCCACGCGCCCTATCGTGGCATCCTCGTGTTGCTGTTGTTGTTGAGTTACCGAGCTAGGGTTACTTTGATGCTCTCTCTCTCGATTAACTCCTTCTCCACCAGCCTTGTTGAACTCCCCCGCCCTACATGTCCATGCGCATGCGAAACACCAATCTGTAACGGGGCCTTTACTCCAGGGGTGGACCGCTCTCTGTCTCTTTCGTGTTAGGCCTCGCTCCGTGGCGATAGATTCAGGCCGATGATGGCGGCTGTGCTTACACCATGAAAAGAAGGCACTTGCACTGCTTGATCGAGCCGACAAACACAGAACCGACGGCAACAACGAATCGCACGATACCACTTATCACCTATAATACGACGTATTTTCTTGTCGTAGTTTGCATCCCGTGGGAAGTCGGCCCGCAAACAGTCGGCATGTATCTTTCGTCGGCGTGCAACCGTTCAGTCTTTTTTTCCCGAGCAGTCGATCACGTTTGCCCCCCCCCCCATCTGGCGGTGTCTCTCCACCTTTCTCCTCTAACGAGGATACGGTTTTTCTAATCTGGAGTCACTCCCCGATCGTGCTTATCCGTATTGTTCAAGCTGCCTTGTTTGCCTGCACTCGGTGCTCTCTCTGTTCTCACGCCAATGCCGGCGTCGTCTATGACTCGCTCCGTCATCGGCGCCGGTTGTTAAGCCGAACTTTTTCCTTAATTTTGTTTGCACTCATTGCTTTGTTCGGACGCCAACGTCATCGTCCGTGACCCGTGCCGTCCTTGTCGCTGTTGCCGTTTTCCTTCCTCCCTCCCTGACTATTGCAGCGCCGTGGTGTTGCTGCCGGATGTGTTCGGCTTCGACACTCCGGAGACAACGGGGGCGGCCAGGCTCTTGGCCCAACAGGGGTATAACACGCTTGTGCCGGATATCTATAGGTGAGAGACGGCAACGCGTGAGGGGACAGCACGCAGTGTTTTGGCGGGGTATTGTAGTTGTTTTTGTTTTCTTTGCCATCCGAATTGCAGATAGCGCCGCACTTTTCTTCAAAACTTGGCAGCTAAGAAATTGATACAGCCTCGAAAAAACTCGAAATCTAAGAACTTGAGCTATAATATATTATATTTATATGAGACGGGTTAAGAAACCTTACACTGATATTAGGACCTCTGCTACGTAGCGGCCCGTTGTTAAACCCACGAAATAACAAAGAACTGACGACGCACCCAGCCGCGGCCAACATGAGAGGCCCTTCAGGTCGGGCGCTCTCTGTACTCCGATACTGTTCGTGTTGTCTACATATCGCTGTGCGCAGCGCTTATGTTCGCAACGTACGGCCGTACCCTCTCGAGTTTAGAGGTCCGATCCGGGTTGATACACAAGACGCCCAACAATGTGCGGGAATTGTCTCCCATATTTTTGTGTCCAATTTATCGTGTTTTACTGTACTTTGCGAGAACGGCTGAGCAGGTTAGTTCCTTCCCTCAAGTTGTCTCACGAGGGGGAACGCTCTCGACCACTGTTTGAGTCCAGGCAAGAAGTGGTACAACACGCACCACACCCCTTGCTCGCGCTTCTTACTCCTAGCCTAGTCGCTAGGGGGGTACAGCAGTATCGCCGTAGCCGGCAAGACCACTGGGATGCAAGATTGTACACTTTGCTTGCACGGATGATTCGGTTTGTTACATCCCCTTTTTGGTTTTCGATTCTCAACGCATATCCTAGACTCGCGGCAGTCGTACTGCTGTCTTCACGAGATGTGATGCGCCGATGCCAAGTGTGTTAAGTTGAATCGTCTCGCTGCCTACCTCCCTACCTCCCTACCTCCTCTGGCATCGCTTCCTCTCTCTCGTTGGGTGCATTTTGGGGCGGAACGGAACAGGGGTCAGGCATGGCCGAAGGGGGTGGAACAGAGCCGTAGGGCGCTAACGGAGTGGTGTTCCTCGCAGGACCGAGAGCGCATGTTGGCGGACGTGAAGGTGCGTAAGGATGAACCGTGTTTGTGCTTGCCATCGGTGATTTTCGTGCTCTCCCACCTACCGCGTTTACTTACCGTGTGTCAGGCGGAAACGTTTGTCTTGGTATTTAGCAAGAAGTAACACTGGTGAAGATCCTGGTCAAGGGGTGAATCCCTCTCGCCCCTGTGAGTGTCTGTACGTGCGCTCGTATGAATTGAGCATCGGTGCCGGGTACCGGCTAATCGATTTCAAGACATCAATCTTGCGGAGGAAAAAAAAAAAAAAATGGCCGTCGCCGGTATGAAGACGCTCGCCACAGGGAGGCTTCGAGAGAACGAACTTAGCGAAAGGGCCCACCAGCCTTTTGGGGTCTCGGTGTTCGTCTGCTCTGCCGACGTGAAACTCCTCCTCCTTCTTAAAATAAGGGGTTGGGTTCTTTGTGAGATGGAGGTCTCCGTGTGATGAAGCGAGCGCCTTCGTCCTTTTCGTGCCACTCCCAAACAACCTGGGTTCGTTGTCGTTCCTTTGTGTGGTAGACCTGGCGTGGTAGACGAGTACCCTCGTCCACGCGGGTGCTTTGAAGAAGTGCGAGAGTCGTATCGACCGTTTCACAAAAATCGATCACCCCGGCACGCACGCGCTCGTTAGAAGCAAGAAGTCGATGGGTTTTCGGGAGGGACGTATATACGTACCGTAGGCGACATGACACAAGATACCATACCCCCCGGGCCAATTTTCGAAGCTCGATTCACCCAAGATGAAGAGGGTGCGATGCGTACATGAAACGATACGCCTTCGGAGAGCGCCCCCGAAGAGACGGCTCGAACGCCGCTACTTTCTGCACGGTCTCTCCAGGTTCGACGATGCGGTGTACGAGCTTTGAAGATTGCAGAAGGTAGCGGCGTTGGGACCGTCACGTCGAAAGCGAAACTTTCCGACCAACATATTTCTTTGATGTCGGCGACCTCTTCGTCGTAGTCGAACTTTGAACATTGGCCCAAGGGGTGTGTGATATCTGGGGTGCGGGGAGTCCTGTTCTCCTGCGCACAATTGTAGCAATACGAAATCGGCATCACTAGCCAAAACGTTTCCGCCCTAGATAAGTCCTGCTCTGGTTCTCGGACGCCGATTGTTGTCTGACGGTTGAATTCGTTCTGAAGGTCGATGTTCTGGTTTGCTGCGAGCGGTGTCTACGGTTGTGTGACTTTCGTACATTACAACAGCTCTCCGGATCTCCATTGCTGCACACGTTCCCGTACACACCAGTTGGAATTGCGTTTTGAATTGCCTCGAGCAAGCATTTGCCAGACTTGACCATATCCTAAATCACTACCCCTCTCTGGACTGTTACTATCATACTGTACTGCCGCAGACTACTGCTGTACGTGCATGTCCTCCCACCCCCATCCCCATGCTGTAGCCAAGCAGCCATGACCAAAACCGTGACGTGATGGTCCACCGACCGAATTTTCCAAGTCAGGGAATGGGGTGCCTTACCGTAGGTGACATGACGTTAGATACCAGACCCCCTTGGAAGTTTTTCAAAGCTCGAACACTGTACGATGAAGAGCGTATATGGAACGATGCGTGTCCGGCAAGGTCTCGATGGTACTGCTCCAACGCTGCCGTTTTCGGCGCGCTTGTACGCTTTCTGCTATGGAGAAAAGGAACTTTGAAACCGATCCAGGGGATGTGACGTCTTACGTCACCAACGATGTATATATATTGGGCTCACGAGGGGCTGTTCGCTGGTTGGTGCAAGGACCGTTTTTACGTTTTTTCGAGTGTGTGAAAGGCTCCCATGTATCTCTCGACGTGCCTCCCTGCGTCGGATTCCTGACTGTCGTGGTGAAGAAATAGTAGCGCAGGATGCACGATTTTTTCCCCTTTTTTGTGCCCCCTCCCCCACCCCACACCCGCAGTCACGCGCCGCCTCTCGTTGTTGTGTTTGTTTACGTTCTCTTGCGGCGTATGTATGGCCCCCATGATCGTTCGTTGCCCCTGGTCAGGAATCCGTGGTGTTTTTCAGGCAGCGAGAGGTGACGCGGCTAGCTGTTGTGGGTTTCTGCCTGGGGGCGGATGTCCTCCTCGAGTGCGCGGCGATAGATGTGAGCAGCAGCGAAGGGGTATAATAACACGTGGCGCCGTCAGAGGTGTTGCTTCCTTGCGCACGTTGTCTCTGTTGGGTTGGTGTTGGTATGCAGGTATTGCTGGTTGTGGGAATGTCGGTGACCTTGTGTTGAAATCTCCGTCTAGTCAAATTGCAATCTTGTATGTTGCGTGTCGGTGACGTTGTGTTGAAAGTCGATATGATTTTTTTAGTTGTTGTGATGTTAGTGGTGCTCCAAATCGCGCACTCATCATAGGTCCCGGCTGACTACAGAAATGCCCGCCAATCATTCAACCAGCCCCTCTCGGCTTGCCCAAACTCCCTGCTGCCGAGTTCCACCGTATTCAATCTCGCGACTAAGTTTGCCCCGTGCACTTCTCTACCTTGGATGTACACGTACCCGACTTGCACATACAATTTTTCCTCGGCATCGCAGGGTTTGTTTGACGCCGGGGTGGCGTTTTATCCGACGGCGCCTTCCGCGGGAGCCCGAACACGCATCCCGACTCTTTTGGTGTTTGGCGGAAACGACGACGCCTCTCCCCCTGAAACGGTGAGATGTATTGGTGCCCCCGACCCCCCCCCCCCAACCCCCCCCACCCCCAAGATATTGAACGAACTTCGTCCCCCTGCTGTCCCTGTCGCACAATGGTAAAAGCTTTAGATTTGCCGAGAAGTCACGCTGTTTTCGAAACGAATAATGTTGAAATCAAGAAATAGTACCATTGTACCATAGTATTAAGAGAGTTGTGACGGGTCGAACGGAGAGTGCGTATTCTGCAAGTTGGTCCTTCTCGACCACACCACAGCGTGCGAAACAAAGGTTGGCGCAACTCTGCCAACCCGCGAAACCGTGCACGTTGGTTATTATAGTGCGCACACTTTGCAGCGAGAGCAATAAAGGAGATGAGGCGCAGGCGCGCAGAAGTGCTACTGCAATCGTCGTGCAGGGAGGCACGCTAAAGGATAACGAGCTCCGCTCGCCCCTCAAGGCAGGACGAAAATGCAGGACTCCAGGTTGCTGATGCAAGGCCATGGACACCGATGCATCTGTTCTCTGCACGCGCCTCCAGCTCGTCTTTGCATGCAGTCTTCTTGGTGGTCAAAACGCCGACGCCCTAGTCGCATGGCGTACCCCGCCGCCCTCCTCTCCCTCCTCTTACTCGCCCGCCCGCCCGCCTCCCCCCCCCCTCATAAACCTTTCCCCTATAAT